GTAATATGAATTCTCTTTGGAGCCAAAAATCTTTGTAGATTCCTTTGTACGCATATAATTTTTGCCTTCTAAAAATTGCTTCTATAGTGACAGTGATTATATTGTTAAATTTTAAAAACAACAAGAAAAATCCAGATAAACAGGAAAATATAACCAAATGTTAAGTTGCAAACATAAAAGAATCATGACTGAGGAATGAATAAGAGAACAAAAATTAATTAACACCATCCAATTTACAGTAACTGGATTTAGAATGGTAGTTGGGGTTCCCCAGGAACACACTCATAATACACATTGGCTCTTGCAATTACATCAGTTATAGTAAAGAAACAGGAAGGACTTAAAGTGCCAAAATTAGACCACTGCTCAATGAATTCCTCACCACCTCACTACCACCCCGCAAACTATAGGCTTTCCTTGTTCCTTCCACAGTTTAAAGGTCACAAAAACATGCAACAGAAAAGATTGCTTAACACAATTTGTACTGCACTACGAAACCAGTTAATGCAGCTTGGGGGTTACATTCCACTTAGTTGCCACAATTGGTGTGTACATGATGTGTATTGCAGCTGTGATCTCTGTTAGATTACAGCTCTGAGGGAGGTGAAAATCAATTCCTGGAGAAGGGCCAGGAGCTAATCCAAATCCATTTAAACATGTCAGATTACCATCTGCAAAAAGATAGGTGTAGAACTAGGTTTTGAAATTGATCTCCAGGGTAAGCTACTGGTTGGGGCAATGGATAATCAGGACTCTAGTCAATTAATTAGTTTATTAAGTATTTATTTTATAAATAACTTGGCAAACATACCTAATATTCCTTCCTCCTCCTATTTTCCCCACAATAACTGTATGAGATAGGTTGGGCTGACAGAAAGTGACCCACCCAATGTCACCCAGTGGCTTTCATGCCTAAGGCAGGATTAGAACTCATGGCCTCCTGGTTTCTAGCCGGGTGCCTTAACCGTGACACCAAAATAGCTCTGCTTATGCAAAATATACCGAATGCAAAATTAGAAAATAATATTTTTATCCAATATGGATGTAAATGTTTGACATTATGTGGATAATGAAACTGAAAAATTACAGAAGTGAGAAAGAAAGCTGATATTGAGATGTGGCTGGGGATGTTTACTTATTTTTATATGCATAACTGACATTTCCCTGGCAATTCTAAATGACTTATCTGCAGTCTGATCTATGATATATTAAAAAAAAAATACAAGAAAATCAAAGAAAGGGAGTTTAAAAAAAGGGGGACAGGGACAACAAAAATAAAAATTAAGTAACTCAAGCAACAATAACAAAAAACAGCTATAGGAAAAAAGCAACTTCTGACTTTCTTCAATATAGATTTTTAAAAAAACTATAAATCAACTGATCTTTTAAATTAGAATGAACCATAACAAACAGTATTTCTATCATATCAATGTAATCAGTCATATAGAGCAACAATTTCTCTTAGTTGGTTCTGAATACAGTACTATCTAAAAACACATTTTAACTGCTGCTTTTAATAATAACCATTTACATTAATATTATTCCAAGTTTTTAAAAAACATTTCCAACCAATATGAAATGCTTCACATGAAGTTCTTACAAGAGTCCTGTAAGTATTATTCCTATATTGCCAGAAGAGTAAAGATGCTCTGAGGCTTACAGTACAGGTAGTCTTTGACTTACAACCACAATTGAACCTGAAATTTCTGTTATTAAGTGAGACTTTATTAAGTGAGTTTTGCCCCATTTTATGACTTTTCTTGCCTCAGTTGTTAATTGAATCACTACAGTTGATAAGTTATTAACCTGGTTGTTAAGTGAATCTGGTTTCCCCACTGACTTTGCTTGTCAGGTCGCAAAAGGTGATCCCATGATTTTGGGACACAGCAACGGTCATAAGTATGAACCAGTTGCCAAGCATCTGAATTTTGATCACATGATCATGGGGATGCTGCAAAGGTCGTAACTGTGAAAAACAGTCGTAAGTCACTTTTTTCAGTGCCGTTGTAACTTTGAACGATCACTAAACAAACTGTTGTAAGTTGAGGTCTACCTGTACATCTTAAACCAACAAGTGGATTCATGGAAAAGATAAAATTTAAACTGGAGGCTTTCTGCATCATTACAGACTATTTACACTGAGGTGCATTTTTTTCCGTTGGTGAATAACTGGAAAAATATTTCACTTATATACTCAAGAGTGGTTTACTTTCAAACTGTGTTTACATAATGAAGTAAAGCATGCTTTGTTTGCCCACAGTTTAGATAACAAATTACAGACAGTCCTTTACTTACAAACTTTTGAGTTACGTCACAAACTTTCACTGATAGAAACATACCTGACTGCAACTCCAGCCTAGAAGATTCTGGAAGGCGGGAAAAAGTAGGAAAGTGTTAGTTTGCAGCGTGCTGGATATGTATGCTTGGCAGCATAGTCAAATGTTGGGAGGCTGAGTGTATGCTGTCTTGGACACTAAGATGTTCTGTGTATTTGCTGATTGCATGCATGATGTTAGTTTGTGGTGTTCTTCCTTTGTATCATGACTGTGAATTTCAGTATGTCTGAAATTAAGTGTAAGTGCTACTTATGAGAGGTAAGAATTGTGCTGTGTTTTTTATACTTGGTTGGATTTACGAACAAAATGCATTTACGAACAGTCTCTTGGAACATAATTTCTTTATAAGTGGAGGACTGTCTGTACAATGTCTAGTTTTATACAACATGCTAAACTGACACGATTATGGGTTAGCCCACTGGTGGGTTTCAAAATTTTTTACTACCGGTTCTGTGGGTATGGCTTGGTGGGCGTGGCTTGGTGGGCATGGTAGGGGAAGGATACTGTAAAATCTCCAATCCCATCCCAATCCAGGGGAAGGTTACTGTAAAATCCCCATTTCCTCCCGATCAGCTGGGACTTGGGAGGCAGAGAATAGATGGGGGCGGGGCCAATCAGAATTTTTACTACCGGTTCTCCAAACTACTCAAAATTTCCACTACCGGTTCTCCAGAACTGGTCAGAACCTGCTGAAACCCACCTCTGGCTTTGCCTTATCTTAAATTGTGAACTCATTCTTCATGAGCAGGAATAACAACCCATTCGTATTAGAGTACAAACTCCCACAACTAGTTGCTTTTATAACATTAGCTAGTTCTAATTCCTGAAACTATTAATGAAACAATAAATCATCATTAACCAGTTTCACATTAGTTCATGTGAAAAGTAACACCTATGTTTTGCTATTTATTTATATTTTATTTCATTATATACTTTGGAATTGGCGGAGAAATCTAGGCACAGTCATTCATTTACAATGTTAAGTACTATTTCTTAAACTATCTCCAAGCACATAATCCCATTAAATTAAATTTAGGGCAGGTGGGGCTTTATTGGGGAAGAAGGCTTACCTCCGTTTTGCAAGCTCTTTATTTAATTGGCCTTTGGTGTTTTGTAGCATACAATAACCTCAAGGAAATGAGAGCAATAAAATAACATTATAAACAGCACGAACACTGGGGTATTTTTCACTCTCCTCTGAGACCATCCTTTGGCAACTGGAACACAGTTGACTCACAGGAAGGCCCAGAAAAAAAATATAATGTCTGCATCCTATGGTAAAGCATGAAAAGGACAATATGTGTGGGGTGCCACATGCTCCTGGAAATTATATTTTTCTTCAGCCCTAGTAATGGAGCATAAGGGCAATAGGCTAATTTAGAAGAGGTAAAGCTAGTGTTCATTCCCCAGCATGTGACACCTGGACACTAATCTTATTTTGTTCAATAATAGTTCAGTCTTGGACTATGCACCCATCTTTTACTGACATCCTTGTTCAAAACTATTTGTTATTTGCCACTTTAAAAAGGTTAAGAATATTGCCAGAGCAAGTCCTACTAAGTTTATGCAGAAGCAGAATAACAGAGTTGGAAGGGACCTTGGAGGTCTTCTAATCTAACCCCCTGCTCAAGCAGAAGACCCTATACCATTCCAGACAAGTGGCTGTCCAGTGTCTTCTTAAAAGTCTCCAGTGATGAAGCATCCACAGCTTCTGAAAGCAAGCCATTCCATTGGTTAATTGTTCTCGCTGTTAGGAAATGTTTCCTGAGTTCTAGGTTGCTTCCCTCCTTGATTAGTTCCCATCCATTGTTTTCTGTTTTGCCTTTTGGTGCATTGGAGAATAAGTTGACCCATTCTTCTTTGTGGCAGTCCCTTAGATATTGGAACACGGCTATCATGCCACCCCTAGACCTTCTTTTCACTAGACTAGGCATACCCAATTCCTGCAACCGTTCTTCATGTTTTAGCCTCCAGCCCCCAAATCATTTTTGTTGCTCTATTTTTCACTCTTCCCAGAGTTTCAAGTGTGTATGCATACCAAAGCATTCTTAAATACACTGAATTGAAAGAGTTTTATCAGTTATCTTGGAGTCTGTCTTGATCATATCTTTCTAGTTTGTTTACTAGTTTGTTTGCCTTGCTCCTTTGGATGCCTCGTGCTTCATATTGATGTATACTTGAATCAAGAATTTTCTTTTCTCTAGTATTGTTAGCTTAAAAGGGGGAGAAGACTACACTTAAAGAAGATAAGAGGGTGTCATCATACAGTATATCAGAGTTGCTCCATATTTTTAAAGGGAATTTTTTAAAAAAGTATTTTGAGGTTTACAATAAATGTGGGGAATAACCATCGAAGCACTTTTAGATCTCATTGCTTTCAGAGATGGTGAAAATGTGCTTAATCATTATGATTAATCGTTATGATCAGACAAGAGTGTTTCGTTGGATTGTGCCCTTGCATTTTTCAAAAAAGCATTGACAAGCTCAGGAAGTTTCAAGGAATGAAGCCATTTAGACACAATGGAGAATTATTGGCTTTATAAAAAGCAGGGCAAAAGAAGGTTAACAGTAAGCATTACAGCAAACGTTCATTTCCAGCCCTTGCCATAAAACTAATTAACAACACCACTAATAATAAATCAGGTTTTAAAATCTTGAGGCCTAGCGTGATCCTTCCACAATGTCTCTGTGATCCATCAAGAGCTCCAGGCAGAAGACAATTGACCTTTCCACATGAAATGAGACAAGAAAAAATGACTATGACAAGCACTATAGGAAGAAACTGCTTCTGAAGCAGAAAATTGCTCTTTCGCTATACAACTCATACATCTAATTGGAGCACATTCTCCCACCAGCAAATTCACACCATGAGAAGTAGGAACTGCTCCCCTCATATTCTTGAGAGGGTATTTCCTATAAAGTCGGATGTGTCAAATTGTATTCTGGATCTTTATGATAAGCTCAGTGTGCAGACAGACCCAGTCGTCTTTTTATCATACTCCAGGCTCCAGTTTAGGGCCCACAAACAGCCAGGCCTGGTGGGTTGAAGATCTCCCCTGTCTGTCACCCTGGCAACAAAGCCTGCCTTTAATCTTCCCCCTCTTCATCTTGTTTAGATGCTGGCCTTTCAATCAACTTTACGTGTACTTAATTCTTTGGAGAAATCTAGTGGGACTCCTGCAGAAATGTACTTATTTATTTATCTTTACATTTATTTTACAGTGCTCATGCAGCTACCTCTATCCTAAAGGACTCAGGATGGCATATAGTGTCAAACAAGAGGAAAAATATAAGCATAATAATAAATTGCAAAATCAGGAGGGGTGAAAAAATACAAAATAACCACAGAAAGCCAAAATAATCCTCCTCAATTTCAAATGGAGCTGTCATTTGTAAATGCTATTTATGGCTTATTTAATGTAAACATTGGTACTATACCAGGGGTGGGTTCTACCTATCTTTACTACCAGTTTGTAACGGGAGCATGCACGCTTCTATGCATGCGCAGAAGCTTTTGTGCATGCGTAGATCATCAATTATGACATCAGGGCGGGTGGGTGGAGCCTCCCGCCGCTTTTACTACCAGTTCTAAAGAACTGGACAGAACCGGGAGCATCCCACCACTCTACTACTATATGCCTCCAATACACAGGATGCATGATAATTTATCTTATTCAACTTAGATACCACCCAACTCTAGCTGACTCTGGGCAGCTTCCAACATAAAACAAATGACTAATATATAACAAATATTTAAGCAGATGGCAGCAATGCCAACAAAGCAAGCATTTCACATCCTCAAAGGTCTCTAACAATCCTTGGGAGAAAAGATTCCGTTCTTTAAGGCCCTCTGGAATACGAACAGGATGGCAGCTCCCCACATGTGAAGGGGAACCTCATTCCAGAAAATAGGCACCATGACAGAGAAGACACACTTCCTGGGTCCCCATAGATGACAATGGAACCCACAATGTGCCAGGCCTGCCAGTTTGTGCTGACTGGACAAGCACCATGGGTGCCCCCCCCCCAAAAAAATAATCAAGACCGATGTTTTATAAGTCATGATCAGCATCTTGAATTGCACTTGGAAGCAAACTGGCAACCAATGCACCTCTAAAGCAAGTGTGTTACATGGACATATTGAGGGATGCCTACCATTCCTGTGTTAATGCATTCTGGTCCAGTTGGAGCTTCTGGGTAGTCTTCAAGGACAGTCCTATGTTGTGTGTGTTGTAGTTTTGCTGTGAAGCGACTAGGGCATGAAAGACTGCCTGAAGGGCCTCCCAATCTAGGAAAACAATTCAAAAACAAAATTTTAATCAATTTAAAAATCATAATGACATAAACTCTCCTATGTTTGCTGCTGAGTACAATTCAGAATCTTCACCACAAAAATAGAATGTTTCTATATTTCTAGGCCAGATGTGGGGGACTATGGCCTTTTTATGACTTGTGGACTTCAACTCCCAGAATTCCTGAGTCAGTACAAAGCATAAAAGAGCCATAGTTTTCACTCCTGTTCTAGACCAAACAAGTAATTAATTGGTATTAACTTATTTGGTTTAATTCTAATCAAATTGTCCTTAACATCAAGAAGTGAAGTCTCATAAAAAATATTTCTCTCAGCAAAAGTTGAATTTAAGAAATGGAATCCATTATATTTATTATTGATGGATTTGTTGGGATTGATACTCACAGTAGTCCAAAGACACTTAATGGTTAGCAATAGCCACCTAACACTCAACAAGACAATAAACTCCAATGAAAATACATAATTTTTAATATGAAATTAAAAATTAAAAAGAAAAATAGGCAATAATAGAATAATAAACTGATGGTGTGATGTCATCCATCACAGATTCCTCAAAATAATTTAAACAAACAAGAATTTTTTGTTTTGATACAAAATAATGTATATTATCTCCCAAACCAGAAGGGCAGGATTATTTTAAAAGATGGGATCGTGTTTCCTAAGAGATTCAGATTCTATTCAATCTTTCATGAAATCTATGCAACTACAGGGTGAAGAAATCTGTTTGCTCTTTTATTTATTGCCGCTTAAGGAAAATTCAGGCTTGCTTACTACTTTCTAAAATCTGGTCTCCTGGCCTGAAAAAAATGGAAGGTATAACTTTTGGAAATCATTCTGTCCAATATCCTAAAGCTATAAAAGCAGAAAACTTCCCTAATCATTCATTTGCAATATGTAATTATCTGCATTAATATCTCTGTCCAGTGGTGAAATCTGAACCGATTTACTACCGGTTCGCTGGTTACGCATGCGCGCCGCGCGCCAAACCCATGTTGGTCACGTGCATGCACAGTGCGCACCAAACGCAAGATGTGCATGTGCACACAACAGTGCGCGCCAAAAGGAGGCTTGGGAAGGTAAGTAGAACAGCGCGGGGGGGTGATCAGCTGTGGCGTGTGATCGTTTTTTAAAAACTTTTAAAAAACTTTTTTTACTACCAGCTCGGGCGAATAGGTAGTAAAAAATGTGCGTGTCACTCACCTGATCATCAGAACTTTTTTTTAAATTTTTAGGTATTTTTTTACTGCCAGTTTGGGTGAATAGGTACTAAAAAATGCTTTAAAAAAAGTAAAAAAAAGGTTTGACAATCGTGGATCAAAGCTGTGATCGTCGGAGCCTCTTTTTTTAACTTTTTTAAAGCATTTTTTACTACCTATTCACCCAAACTGGCAGTAAAAAAACCCTAAAAATTAAAAAAAAAAAGTTCCGATGATCAGGTGAGTGACACGCACATTTTTTACTACCGGTTTGGGCGAACCAGCCCAAACTGGTAGCATTTCACCCCTGTCTCAGTGTTTTCAAATTTTTGTGTCTGCATATGTAGCTAAGATATCAGAGATTACACTCCCTACTGATACACCACTATTTTGATTTTTCAGTTAAATCCATGATAGCTAAAAGAATAAACTTCTCATTTATGGGAAGCTATAATTCTTGTTGTCCTAAAGTTTAGCAGTTCGAGACCCAAGTACCACATGAAGGGGTGAACTCCCACTCCTGCCCCAGCTTCTGCTAACCTAGCAGTTCAAAAGCATGCAAATGGAAGTAGATAAATAGATACCACTCCAGTGAGAAGGTATCAACTGTTCTGTGCACTGCAGCATATAGTCATGTCAGCCACATGACCACGGAAGCGTCTTCAGACAATGCTGGCTCCCTCAGCTAGGAAATGGAGATGAGCACCTCCCCATAGAATCAGACACGACTGAGCATCCTTTACCTTTCTTATAATTCTTGGTAGCTATAATTTTGTGGAAAAGAATTCTGACCTTAACAACTAGAAAGAAATTATACTTCCCCATATGAAGAATTAAAAATATTTGCAAACTAATTTACTCTCTACACTTGAAAGACCTAATGTTCATATCAGAAAGCTGACCATCTACCAACTCCTTTTTTTTCATATCCAGAGTATTTAGAAAAGCAGACATGCAACTGTACTGAATTTTGTGGTGGTTTGATAGAATTGTTGCTAACCTAATGAAAGTACTGCTTTTATGAATTTAGGGCATATTTATGTATGCATTCATATGTACTTCTATTCAGCATGCCTAAGATAGCCTTTTATACAATTTTGTGACATGGTTGGCTGGTTTTTGCCAAGGAATCTGCTAAGCATGCAAGTCTTATAAAATAAAAACCAAAAAACTAGACCTGCCTAAAATAGCAAGTCAGTTGTCCAAGTTGCAAATTCCAAAAAAGAGAGCTCTGAGCCGTGCTGCCTGTTTTGTCCAACACATTATATCTAAAGAAGCTTATGGCATAATAACTTCGTTACACAAGACTTTTTGATATTCTTGATTAAAAACAAAAAAAAGAAGACAGAAAACACGGGAATAAATGACCATTAACAGTTGTCAAAATGGGTGATATAAAACAAAGCACTTGTCCACATCACACACACACACCCCACATACACACACAAGGATCTGCATCAGAATCAGCTGTGTTTGTAATTTTGTGGGTGTACTTTTAAGAGCCTTTGAAAAATCTGAATGAGCTCAGTATCCTAAAAAGATTGAGAACCATTGTCTTATATTTTAAACATTTCTCTGGACATTTTACAGACTTTTTTTTTTTTACTCAAATAATTTTAACTGGGGGCCTTTCTAAAAAAAACAGATTATTTTTTAGATTTCCTGTGTTAATTTGAAAGTGTTTAGTGTTATGGTCCTTTGGCTATTATGGATGCTCAGATTTGTTTATTTTTGGGTGTTGCCTTTCTTCTCCTAAAGGTGTTAAAAGAAAAGCTCAGGCAGGCACTTAAAAGTACATGAATTTTATGACTGGGAAAACTGTTTGGTTCAAGAGAAGTCCAGCTCATGCTTTCTCTTCATTGATTTAACTTTTGTTCTTTTTAGACTACCTAATTGTAAAAAAAATAGTTCCAGTCAAAGCTGTATTAACAAACCTGAAGTTCAGTCACATTAATGCTAATGCATGATCACTAATTTCTTCATTGTTTTAACGCTACCTCCTTTTCTAAATAAGAAGATATTTTTAAAAATATTTTTTTTAAAAAATTAAATGCTTACACAAAGTATCACAGCAGCCAATTATAAAACAGTCTCTGTGGTTTCTTTTTTTAAAAGAAAATTCGCAAGTGCAAAAGCCTTCCTTGAAGACTTGGTTTCCCTAAGAAGAAATTCCATGATGAAGAAAAAAGTGCTCTTAGAAATAATTTGTTTTACTTGTCATATTTTATACCTTATTGACAACAAATTTTCAATTAGGCATGTTTTGTTTTGCTTTAGAAATGTTGAGTTGTATACATGCCTGTATTCTACAGTGGCAGAATTGAAAAACAAGCTTATTAGCATTTGTGATATTGATCCTGAAATATAAACAGATGTAAACATCAGGCATCACAGGGTTGAATTGGGAATTCTGGAGTCAAGTCCACATATCTTAAAATTGCCAAGTTTGAGAAATATTGGTTTATAATGTACACTTGCTTTTTGTATGTATACTTTTGTTTTTGTTTTGTTTTGTTTTGTTTTGTTTGTACACTTGTTTGTATGTACACTGTACATACACTCAGTACATGCACTCATGTACACTCAGTATGTACACTGAGAGCTTATGCAGACAAGAGACAAATTCCTTGCATGTCTAATCACACATGGCCAATAAGGTATTCTGTTCTGTTCTGTTCTGTTCTGTTCTGTTCTGTTCTGTTCTAGTCCAGCCCAGCCCAGCCCAGTCCAGTCATGACTTTCTTTCCTGTAGTTTCCTTTTATGCAGCTGGACATGTCTATCATGTTATTATTTCTTCCCTCAGTCTTCTTTTCTCTAGATTAACTATCAAAGGTTCCTTCATGCTGTTCCTGTGTCATCTTTGTTGTCTCTTCTGACTATTCTTAACATTTCAATATCCTCTTGGAAATGAAATGCTCACAACAGTACACATTACTCCAAGTGTAAACTCAGTGCTGAGTAGAGAGGAATAAGGTGTCCCTAGATTTCCTTTTGGTCACTAAAGTTTGACTTACTGTTGAAACAATATTTATCTGTCTCTTTTTAAGTCTGTATCAGGCTAGAAAGCAAGAAGAACAAAAGCATGACAATATCATAGTTTATCCAGCCCCCAAGATTTATTTTCTTTATGAATATATCACTTTTTTGTTATCAAAGTGAATGTGGAGAAAAATATACTTCTATAATTAAGGACACTTTTGCAGTGGAAGCAACATCTGTTCTAAACACAATCTTTGAGGGAAAGGTGATTTTAGTTCAGTTAAAACACTAAGAGATTTGGTGCTGAGGTGGACTAACTAACTTTAAAATTAGCAAGTGTCTAGAAGGCACAATAAAAAGCTAAATGAATAAATAATCCTGTATTTGATGATATTGACTGGAATATCTAGCAACCTCTGCAATTATAAAAATGATTACATTTTTAAGTACCATAGACTCATCATTGTTTAGAATAGATTGCAAAATGTTGCCATTTTGTAATCTAGAAACAAACCTCTAACTTTAGATGACCTGGTCCTCACTATCTGTCATGTGAATAAACTGTGCCCCAGGCTCTTTTAATTGTCCTATCTTCACATAACAAACTGCTTAGAGGGGGCTGTAAGGCACTACGAAGCGGTATATAAGTCTAAGTGATATTGCTATTGTAAAGATTTACAGAGATCTATAAAATATAAGATTAAGATATAATTTTAGCAGGTCCAGAGATTTGATCCCTCAGCCATTATATTGCAAAATAATTATGTAAGTATGACCTATGAAAATAAACCAAGGCATCC